GTCCAGATGTCAGGATGTCAGGTCCAGGTGTCAGGATGTCAGGTCCAGATGTCAGGATGTCAGGTCCAGATGTCAGGATGTCAGGTCCAGGTGTCAGGTCCAGATGTGCAGAGCAGAGGTCCAGAGGGCCACATGGTGTTGGGCTGGTTAGTTAGGATAGGTGTCAGGTCCAGATGTGCAGAGCAGAGGTCCAGAGGGCCACATGGTGTTGGGCTGGTTAGTTAGGATTTTGAGTCCTTGAAACTGGTATGAGTAGTTTGGGTTAGACCTGGACCATGTTCATGGCAAGAATGTTGACTTAAACTCTGATGGACTTAGGTTCTGACTGGGTCCTGACTTGTACTCTGATAGACCTGGTTCTTGTCTGGGTCCTGACTTGGACCCCCTGGATCTTAACCTGATTCTGGTCTTGTGTTTCAGGCTGACGGTTCAGCAGTGGAATGTTCTGTTGAAGACTCTTTTCTTCTCTGCCAGCTGGGGAACCCTTTCAGGAGCAAACAGAAGGTAAAGACCAGGTCCTGATGCCGCTTCAGAACCAGCAACAGAACTTAGTACCTGTGACCGAACATAGTCCCTAAAACAGAACTCTGTCCATAAAACAGAACTCTGTCCCTAAAGCAGAACTCTGTCCCTACAACAGAACTCTGTCCCTACAACAGAACTCTGTCCCTACAACAGAACTCTGTCCCTAAAACAGAACTCTGTCCCTAAAGCAGAACTCTGTCCCTTAAACAGAACTCTGTCCCTACAACAGAACTCTGTCCCTACAGCAGAACTCTGTTCCTTAAACAGAACTCTGTCCCTACAACAGAACTCTGTCCCTACAACAGAACTCTGTCCCTACAACAGAACTCTGTCCCTACAGCAGAACTCTGCTGAGACTTTGATCTGCTCCTGTGTTGCAGGATCGACTTTTGATCAAGTTTCAGCCATCAAACAACATTCTGGACTCCAAGGAGATCCGGTCTCAGCTGCAGCTGTCCACGTAGGCCGTCCAGCCCCACATCTGCATCTGGATGTTTGTTGGAAGGGTTCTGATGTGCGTCTCTGTCTCTGTGTCCTCAGGCTCAGCGAACAGTCCGACCTGTCTCCGGTTTCTGTGTCCCTGCTGGTGGAACATGTCCTGCAGGCGTCTCTGGTTCTGTAAGAAAAAACCCAGTTATGTTCAGGCTGAGTGCTGACCTCTGAAAGCAGGCAGAGATAAACGCAGGTTTAAGGTGTCCACGTCTCTTCAGCTGAGACACCTCAGGAGTTGGACAGAGTCCTCTCACAGCTGCTTGTCTTCAGCAGATCTGAACATCTGCTAGTGTCACCTTTATAAAACAGGCAGCAGCTTAATACTGTATCTGCAGAAAGTTAGACGTGTGGCGCCCCCTGCTGGCTGCACCTTAAACCACATATACACTCTACATGATGACGCATGATTGACAGGAGGATTTACAGGAGGATAATTGACAGGAGGATGATTGACAGGAGGATAATTGACAGGAGGATAATTGACAGGAGGATNATTGACAGGAGGATAATTGACAGGAGGATAATTGACAGGAGGATGATTGACAGGAGGATGATTGACAGGATGGTTGACAGGATGTCTCAGCTTAAACCAGTGGTGTGATATATTTTAATGAATGATGAAAAACGAGCTCTGATTGGCTGTTCCTGGCAGAATCAGACCTCCTGATCCAGTCTTCTTCGGTGGTTATGTGATTGGTGAGAAAGCCATGAAGAAGACGGAGGACATTGGCAGTCTGGTGGTCTTCACCCTCAAGGTTAGTCTGAACCACCTGGGTTGTTGCAGACGGACCAGAAATGGGACAGGTGTCACCAGGTGTTGTGTGTTGGCAGGTACACTCTGACAGGAAGTCCCTGGGTCACGTTGGCAACCTGGAAGTGGAATTTGATTGGCCGAAGGAGGTGACCAATGGGAAGTGGCTGCTGTATCTCACAGAGATCCAGTTCGACGACGTCTCCAATCCTCGCTGCAATCAAACCCAGATCAATTCCCTCAACCTCCTGGTAACCATGTGCTTTCAAAACAAAAATAATAAAACATCTGGGTTATTTCAAAATAAAATGCCAGTTGCTTTTGAGTTTGACAGAAGGATTTGGGTGATTGTAAATGCTCAGACTCTGTTTATTTAGACATCTAACAAGGAGGAGAAGAGGAGGAGGAGGAGCCTGATGGAGGAGGAGGAGAAACAGGAAGGAAGACCACTTCCTGTCTTCAGAACGCAGGGACAGAAGAAGTCCTACAAACTGGTAAATAAATGGGAATCAGCTGATCTCTTACATTTGGAGCTACAGCTGAGGAAGAACCAAACACAGTCCCAGTATCAGGAACACGGTTCTGACCCGGGTCCGCGTGATGAAATCTAAAATCTGTTTCAGAGCTGCAGCAGCGGGGCTACATGTGTGAAGGTCTCCTGTCCTCTGCTGAACTACAGTTCTGTGACTCTGACGGTCAGGAGCCGGCTGTGGAACTCCACCATGATCGAGGTACGAACACCACCCTGCCAGGTCCCACTGACATCACTTCCTGTTTACCAGAGGTTCACAATAAACCAGAGATTCGGAACCCATGGGCCACGTTGAGGGCCTCAAAAGAACAACAGTTTTTATCTTTGGGCCGCAGAGGGCCGTGGGACCGCATTGATTTTGAATAAGATGTAATAAACTTTCTCACCACTAGTAGCAGTAGTGCGCCACTCAGATGTTTAACAACTTTTTAATACGTAGAAGAAGAAACTGAGCTGCCTGCCAAGAATGTAAATCTGTTTTAAATGAAAAGTAGAAATAAAAATGAATGCAACCCATCAAACAGGCCAAAGTTTTCCACTAATATGAAGAGCAGCTTCTGGTTCTACCTCTCAAAACATAAACAAATATAGCTGCAGATACAACTATATTTTAAGTTGCACTTCATCAAATTATTTTTTGTAGTTTATTTTTAAACAGTTTGAATTTATTTTAAAGAAACTTTAAACTTGTCAAAAAGTTGTTGTTACTGTTATTGTTTGTCACTAATATGAAGAGCAGCTTCTGGTTCTACCGTGCAGTTTAAAAACGCTTTATTTTCATTTGGACTTTATCAAAATTAGTTTTACAGCTTTTTTTAATTTGAAACATTTACATGGAACATTTTGAATGTATTTATTTTATGACCACAATTTTAGTTGAATTGTCTATTTTTGTTATTGTTTATGTTAAAAAATGTTATTTTTCTGTTGAGCATTGTATTTGTTCAAATAATTATGGGCAGGTTACAATATAAAAAACTGTTTGCCATAATCATGTCTTGTGATTGTTTGACAGGAGTTTTACTTTTAAACTGTAAGTGTATTTTATTTATTATAATGCAAATACAGTACAAATTAAACCAAGATTGCCATTTTGATCCATACGTCTGACTGGGCCTCGTGACACTTTATGATCAACAAATTGGGCCCCGAGGTCAAAAAGGTTAAGAACCCCTGCGATAAACCAGAACAGAAACAGGATCCAACGAGAAACTCAAAACACACAAACCAGCAGTTCATAGGTTTCAGTCTAAGGTTTGTGTTGTTTTAGGACTAYAGAGATGCCAGGAGTGTGTTGGTTCAAGTCCAGGCCTCTTTAAAGCTCAAGACCAACAAGTCCAACATGGAGAGGAAGTCCACCCCCTCGCAGGTGATATGCTGCAGCTCAGACCACAGCCCCTCCAGGTGTTCAGGGTACCTGACTCTGCTTCCTGTCCGCAGATCGAGGTCCACATTTACCCAGACTCTGCGTTCCAGATGAGCTCCGGTGTCCCCCTATGGATCATTGTGGTGTCGGTCCTGGCGGGGGTCCTGCTGCTGGCTCTGATCTGCCTGCTGCTCTGGAAGGTAAGCTGAGCTGTAGCACCAGGACCGAGTGGGTCAGCACGGATCTGGTTTCTGGTTTCACCACAGAATCGGCGTCATCATGTCGCCACTCTGACGTGAATCCTTCTGACGGGTAAAATATTGTTGTTCCTGCTGTTCAGTGTGGCTTTTTCAAGAGAGCCAGCACCAGGGAGATGTACGAAGCCAAGACCCAAAGAGCCCAGATGAAGAGCCAGCCATCTGAGAGCGACAAGCTGACTGAGGAGCTCTGAGGCTGGGCCCCCTGCTGTAAGGACCACCCACTGGTTGTTTACAGCAGTGATTCCCAACAAGGGGCAGAGCTGTAAAGTAACTAAGTACAAATACTTYKTTACTGTACTTAAGTAGAATTTTTGGGTATCTGTACTTTACTTGAGTAATTATTTTTCAGTCTACTTTTTACGTCTTACATCTTTAAAAAAGACAAGTATAAAGTTGTTACTTTTACTTAATTTCTGCTTGTTTTTATTGCAGCTTGTTATTGTAAAAAATAAAAACTATCCATATAAACTGAGCCTCCTAGATAGAGTGAATTTAACTGTGGTTGAATGAGAAGTATAAATATATAAAACTCTGATAGAGTATTAGTTTGTACAAAAACAAATCATGTCACACTGCAGCAGGACAGAATCATTCAAATAAAAGGACTGTACTTAAGAAGTATTTGTATTTCATGAATTATATTCTTACATTTGGCCGCAGCCCTCAGATAGATTTTCATTTTGGGGAAAAGCTTTGTGCAGCCTTGATATACAGTGGGTAAAACAAGTATTGAACACGTCACCAT